GGCGCGCCTGTGTGATGCCAGCAGATGGGCGGCCTGTGGTGACGCCCTCGCGGGGATTGAAAATAAACTCCATCCAAAGAGAGTTTGCCTTTTGTTGTCCGGGCGTTGTTCGGTGGTCACTGGGTTGGGTGGTCTCGTGCGTAGAAACGCCGCTGAAAACCCTGCTGTTGCAAGCGTTTGCGGTTGTCCGAAACTGTTTCATTTTCAGATTGCCCGCGCCCACTCGCTTTCACTGTCTCGCTCACTCACATGGTTAAGGAGAGAAAAAGAGCTCCACAAACGAGTGTGGCCGCCGCCCTGGCCACACTTTATGCAACCCAATATATATTTAAATCCGCCGGTCGCTCACGGGCTTATGCACATCGCTCGGCTCCACGGTCACGTGTCCCGATTTCTCATCAGCGTGGCTCTACTGTCACATACGGCTGCTGAGCGAGCGAGAGAGACGACGGGGAGGAGAGGGGAGGGAATAGGGATTGGACGCGAGCTGGCCCCTACCCTCTCCAGACCCGTTCCTGTAAAGTCCCATAGCCGCGAGGACTTGACCGTAGGGACAGTCAGGGACCGACCGTCACCACAAAACTCCCCCCTGCTCGAATCCGCTCCTCGAGGGTACGGATATCAATCCGAGTGGCAGCTGCCAGGCGCCGCCAGCTGGCCGCGCTCTCCTGGGAGACCCCTTTCCACCACCGCCCGCCAGAAGCATGAGAGGCACGCTGGTAATGCCAGCCCCACCTGGACCAGACTGGATCCCGCTGCTGGGGCCCGCCCACTTTAAGGGAAGGGGGGGCACGTCCGTTCGGAAATAGAAGGCGTAGTAGTACACTGTTAAGAAGTTGCAGCATTATTACAACTTTTTGTATGCTAGCTTGTTTTGAGCATAGCGCAGTCAAATTACAGCTTCGGTTGTACAACTGCACATACAATGACTTAAATCTCCCCAGTTGCGTACATCTTGGTGGCAATCGCGCCCAACAGCAAAAATGTTTACAACTGCCCGTCGGGCAATTGCGAGTCGCACAAAACATGTTCTGTGACTCCGTGGGCTTTTCCTACTGAAAAAAATGTAAACCAACCGACTGTGTCGACACTCACCACACCGGTGTTGGGGTCCTTTGCGCCGTTGGAGAAGGTGGAGGCGAGCGTGGACGAGCAACTCTCGTCGTAGTGCGCGTTCTGGCCGTCGTTGATGGCCGAGTTGATGGACACGGTCCACATGGACGCGGCGTAGCCGTCGCAGTTGCAGTCGTCGTCCTCGCCGCCGTCGCCGCTCGCCCACACGTAGATGTTGCCCAGGCCGTTGCGACCCTGCAAGGGAGCGATGGCTTTAGGAAAGCGGAGGGGCAGAAGGAGAGCAATGGAATGGAATGGTGGTGCTTGTGGCTGCGCGATGGACCGGCTGTGCTGTGTGCACGCGCCGAGGGAATACTACTTTGGTAATATAGGTAATATGAAACTGTGAATGAAGTTATAGTGTAAAATTGGTGTAATATTGCAGTAGTATTGCCAATAATTTGAGTTATCGATGTAACATTATTGTAATATGCGTAATATTGATAATATCGACGTAACATAAGCCCGGAGTACGCAGGAATGTACCGGACTTGATGACGGTTTAATGCTCACCTCGTTGACGCCCCTCACGATGGCGCGCATGGTGGCGTTCCGCGGGCCGTCCACCGTCTTGCCGTCGTCGGTCGGGCCCCAGGACGCCGAGTAGATGTCGATGAGGTGCGGCTCGTGGCCCATGGAGTTGGCCTCGATGAGGTCCGTCATGTAGGGCTGGTCCAGCATGCGGATGCCTGACAGAGATGTACCGTCGTTACACAACCGGGGGCCTTGCGAGTGCGGCGAGGAGCTGGGCGGTGGGGAGGAGGCGATGGAGATTGCGTGATAGGAAGGAAGAAGGATGGCGAGGGGAGAGATGAGGTGGAGGAGCGGGGAGAGCGGCTGCGCCAGAGGAAATGGGCTGCTCTCCCGACTCTAAATGACGCTCTTTTCCTCCTGCTCCACCGACAGCCCCCTGCTTAGGGTTGCGAAATTACCGGTAACAATCAATGTTACCGTAAATTACGGTAAAAATCGTAATTTACCGGAAATTTTGGAAAAATTGGAAAATTTCAATTTGAAGTAGAAAAATTGGCAAATATACTATTTCTTGGCGATCGAAATTCGTGTGTACTGCCTAAAAAGTGACGGAATAGCCGGTCTTAGCTATACTTGTTGGAATATTTGTGTTTTTCATCTTGTTCTCATCAACATCAGTTGTATATAGAGTTACCAG